TCTCTCCCACTGCTCATGGGAATGAGAGTAAGTGAAACTCCAAAAGACAGGATGGCTGATAATACATATTCTATTTGTAAAGGAATGAGAATGGAGGGGGAGCATTTATATATTTTATCACCTTGAAAATGTAAAGGAAAGGATTAGAAAACTGAATGTAAGATCCTTTAAAAAGAATTAAAGCTCTGAAAATGACTTGTGTTTTAATGCTTGATCTTGCTAAATATTTTTTTTCTTTATTCATAGATTCATGGTGTTGCTGTCTAAAGTTGAGAAATCATCAGAAGAAATCATGGAAATAATGCAAAGTTTAAGTATTACACAGGTTTGCTTTTTTTTAATTTTGACATAATTTCATATTTCTACTACCCCATTTGAAAAAGAAGAACAGGAGAGAAGTGCAGGTTGGAGAATCCAATCCAGGAAAGAGTTTGCAGGACATATGTTTAATTTACTTTTCATGGAAATTTCTTTTCTTATGTTAACATTAATTAACAGTAATATTTTAGTAATATCTGGCTTCACATTTAAAAGTAAATTTGTAAATTATGTATAGTCTTCTTAGTTAATAAATTGTTTTCAGACAGTCATTTAAGGCTTGCAATAGTTGACCTGCCAAAAAATGTTAAGTTTCCTACCATAAAGTTTAAGTTTTTCAGATGAAGGAAACAGTATGCCGTACTTTCACTTGAATTATCAGTAATATTCTCTTTGAAGAGAACTTACTTAACTCATTTAAAATGACTTTCTTTTAGGCTTTGGAGGGCAGTAGAGAGCTTGCAAACCTCATTGGTGTCTCCTGTGCATCATGTTTCTTAAAAAGAGAAATGCAGAAAACGAAAGAACTAAGTAAGAAAATTTTACGAGTTTACAATGGTGTCTTGACATTCCTTATTTGCAAACTTAGATATATATTTTAATATTTTTAATTGTAGAGATAAACCTATTCATTTTTCCCAAATTTTAATTTGATAGACTTCTTTATATATATCACTACTGGACAAATATAGAAATATTATTTAAAGAATAAGAAGTCACATATCCTTTACCAGGATGTTATTTCAAGGATCGGTCTTGAATATGAAGGGAAAGAATGTATGTTGGAGACTGGTATTAGACTTTTTTTGTGTAGTGCTCATTCTTTAAATAAGATATAAGGTAGTGCATTTTGTACTTGATACCTACACATATATATTAATTCAAATTTTTTTAATGAAGTTGTTTCTTCCAAGATGAGAAATTATTCATATTCCATGTTAATTCTTAATAAGGCATTCTTTTCTCTTCTAGTGACAAAAGTAATAAAACAAAAATTGTTTGAAAAGAAGAGTGCAGGACTTCCTAGCAAAGGTAAAAGTTGTCTTTTAAATTTATTAAATAAAGAAATCCTTTCATCTCATCATTTAAAACCAATCATTATGATCTTTTAGTGTACTCTTCTAAGAGAATACAAATCTCATTTGAAAAACCTTATATCCGCATTTAGCAAATGAGATCAACTTTTCTGATGTTTGAATTTTTTAAATATCTTTTGAAATATGTTTCAGGTTAAGATTTAAATTTTGCATTTGTATTAAAAGTTCTTTTTGAGAATACAGACAAATGGGGCAACAATGAATTAATATACAGCAGCTCTTAATGGTGAATTAGAAGGATACACAAAGCATAAAAAGTTACTTTGTAACCAGTTTTCTAAAAACTTTCAGATCATTAATACATTTGATCTACTGTTAACTCTTATGCCTCTGAGCATTTCACAGTATGGGAAACTAAATAAGCAGGTTTTAAGTTCCCATAACACATGCAAATCCACACCTTGGTAAGCAAAATAATCATAGAGTATACAATATTAAAACCTTTATACCAACTTAAGAGGGATCATTTAAATATTACTGACATGAATGCCATTTAGCAATCTCTACAGAGGTAGTCTTTGAAATGGGTTGCCATGTTTTTAGTCTATCATTTTTGAGTACCAATGACTACCATTTATTGGGGACCAATAATTATGTTCCCAACACTAGGATCAGCAGATCTTTACAGCAATTCTACCAGATAGCTATTATGATTGTCATGATAGATAAGGAACAATGACAGAGAAAATCTTAAGTAACTTGCCCAAAGAAATGCCCCATTTAAGTGTCAGAGCAGATATTCCAACTAAAGACCAGTATGACCTCAAAAAGCATGGTCTTTTCATTATTTGAAATTGCCTCGTCCTAAAACAAATAATCATCCAGTCATTCCAGCTTTCAGATTTAAACATGAGGCATAACTGAAACTATTTTAGGATCTTTAAGAAGCTGGCGATGAGTTTGCAGTGGAAAGTGCTGAGATTCCCTGCTGGTTGGTTCCAAAAGCCAACTAGGTCATAGCAAGCCAAAAACCATAGCAAGACTCCTGCAAAACTCTTATGGAAAGGGAGCTGAGCAGACATCCTAAGCCATTTAGTTGAGCAGCTAACTTCCACTGTGATACGAAGAATTTAAGAACATGAAGGTGGGCTCTCTCTTAGAAAAAGGCTTTTGAGATTTCTCCCATGCTATATAATTTAATTATAATGCATAACTGGGTTTCAGTGGTTTTAATCTCTCCTAACTTGACAAGTTTTAGAGGATCATAATGGGAAATTGTAATGTTTATTATTTACCAGTTAGAGAAAATCTTGAGTCTATGCATTCTATGACAATTGTGTGATTTTTAAAATCTGTAATTTCCTAAAACTAATTAGAATTAGGCTTTACATAGTTGAGGAAAGAAAAATCATAAAACAAATAAGAGAGTTGTCACTGCTAAAACTTAATGGGAAAAAATTTTCCAAAGGTATTATTTCCTTCGCCAAACATTCATTAAGACATTATGGTTATTTCCATGTATTAAAACAGTTATCTCCTTTCAGTTATCCAGTATGTACTGATTCTTTGTGTGTTTATGCATGATCAGCCTTAAAACTGTTTTCTAATATTTTAGGCATTAAAACTGACTTTCCCAATACCAGGTTTTCCCAAAGGACTAAGTATCTGTTCATGCATAGAGAGGATTGTATCACTAAATCATGTTCTAAAATTTCTAACAAGCATTGATTATTTGTTGTGGTTTAAATGAAAACTGAGTTAAGTTATATAATATATGTTATAATGTAAATATATATTGTATATATTAGAATACATCAGCCATCTTCCATTTCTGTCTTGGCAAGATTCCTGAGGTATTCAGCTCTTCATTAGCTTTTTAACTATTTTGAAGGAATGCCTGAAAATAGATTGAAGCTTATTTTCTTTATAATATGAGTTTGAGCTATATATTTTCTTCTTTCTCTGGTTCCTAATATGTGTGGTGGTTGTTTTTTTTTATATTGATGGGGTTTTTGTTTTGTGTTGTTTTTTTGGTTAAAGATGATGTACACCAACACATTCATATGTACATATATGTAAATTGTTTTGCTAAGTTAATAACTTTCACCCTCTTCTATTCATGCATTCATTTTAAGAGGACTTTGTTAGTTTTTTTTAAACACCTCAAAGTAATTTGCTTTATATGTTCCTTTTATGTTACTGTAGTCCTCAACTCTTTATTTGGAGATCTAGCCTTCAACTTTTTATAGAAATTTCTACTTGACTCTTTTCTTTTACTATGCTATTACCAAGAATTGTCTAAATTTTAAAATATTTTGGGAATCTTCATAATATTAGAATTTATATATTAGAAATTATGTAATATAAAATCAGCCCTATAGTATGTATTGGATTTGTTTTATTAGGTAATTATGAAAATGAGGATAAACAAACTACTTGTTTTACTCTCAAAAGAATGTCCTTCAGATTCTTATAAAATTTTCCTAGAATAGTTAAACAATACTAGGAGAATTTCTGTCATTTTAATGCTGTCATTGCCCCTTCACATTGGTCTCTTAGTTCTGTTTATTTTTCTGTATTTCAGTGCTAGTTTGTTTAGTATCAGTTGCAGTTTTTATTATAGGCAGAGGAGTATAATTGTAAAACTAACACTCCATTGTTTTAAATAAAGACATCTGACATAAAGCTTTATATAACTTTTTCAAAAAAAGATTAAAACATACACAATAACATGAAAAGGTTCACTGAGATCTTCATAGTTTTCAGAAGAACTAGACCTTGGAAATCAGGAAATGCCTTGATAGAGTGTATAAATAAAAGAGGATCTCTTCTGCTAAATACAAATTTCTTAAACAAAGGAAGGCTTCTTTCTTTTTCAGTTACTTAGGAAGTAAATCTAACTTCACTTTCCTTAATAATATTGGCTTTATGACTATTAGAAAAATAATGCAATGAAAGGTTCTTTTTCTATTACATTTGGATGGGAATTTTCAAAATTATCTTTAATTTGTTATGCTGAAGATTTAAAACATATGACCATTTAATGGGTTGATACAGATGGAATGTCACATTATCATCACATGGTAAGGCATGAAATTTATTTACTTTACATAATGAACCTCAACTTAAAACAACTTGATACAAATATCCCTAAGTCAATAGATGGCATTATATAGTACTTAGTATTTTCAATTTTTTCTGGAGATATTAGAAAATGCCATCATTGTTTGTCTGTGACTAGTACTTTCAGTAAACAAAATGTTTTTGGAAAGAATAAGCAAATTGTAGAGCAACTGCCAAGATATGAAATCTAGACATTTAGCTTCAGTCCAAAACATATTTTATTATTTTTGAGAATAATTGTGTAGGTTGTAGTATGCATATTTTAAATTAAATGTTAACCATCTGAACTTTACATTGTTCAAAAAAGTTGATTGTTTCAGCTGTTTGTAATACAAAATATTTCAAAATTTCTAGCTCTAGCCTAAAAAAGAAAAAGCACAGACTATAATGTTTCTGTTTTCCTTAGATAACATACTATCTTCTAACATTGTAAAATTCATCTTGGTTGCAGGATTTTAAAGTTTTCAAATTTTTGGATTACAGGACAAATTTTAAACTCCTGTTCTAAAACTATAAAATAGTTTGATACTGCCTTTTCATTCTAACCACCCACTGAAGTATTTTTCAGCTTAAAAATATGTTGTTCTTTCCCCCACTCAGTCTTGAGAAAGTATTCATCATATCAGCTAAATAATTTTACTCCTAGAAGACTGCTATCCTTTTATTTTTTTCTATTCTAGCTTAACATTAAACAGTATCTTTTTTTCAAACAAATACTTTGGTTTTAAAAGCACTGAGGTTTGAAGTTTAGACATGATGAGTTTTAGGAGAAACAACAAAAATTCTCCCTATGCTTTAACATTCTTAGTTTATCTGGAGATAAAAAATGGAGATATTAGTTTGGGTGACACAAATATACATTCATGTACAACTGTAGTCATCAGCTCTTTATAAGGATTCAGTTGTCATGTCTGCTGTACGTGGCTCATTCCTTTCCTGTCAATAATGTTAATGCTCTTGTTTTACATCATCCATCACTGTTTTGGGGACACATTTCGACTGCTTACTTGAGACTTGTCTAGGATTTAAGAAAAAACAAACTGCTTCACTACTTTTCAAAGCCTTTTAAATATTTTTTTCCATGATTTAAATTTTCTTACACTTTATTAGAAGTATGATAATTTTTATCTTTTAAATAACCAGTAAAAAACATTTAAACTATAGATTTGAACTCATTTAAAAGCAATTATGTGTTTAAGAGGTATAAATAACTTGCTATCAGACATTACAAATATCCAGGTGCTCTGTATGTGCTGATGACAACAAAATTGAAACGAAAGACTGTAATAATTCTGACTGGTTTTCTCTGCAGAAGATATTGATTATTTGTGTGTGGTGAGAGATTTGGAAAATTCAATTAAAGGAGTTGTGCAAAGGTTTCATAAATTTTCCTTCTACAGCGTGTACACAGACATAGTTGCGTATTAAATCAATGCAGCACTTCACAATATATTTTCTTCGAAACATAAAAATAAATAACATTTAAACAGTTCTGCTTACTACAGAAACAAATTTTATTTTCTGTGAAGCATTTAGTCATGTGCTATCACTGACTCATACACATTTGCCAGCTGTAACAAATTTTATAGACATTTTCTCCAGAGACATATCACACATACTATGAATTTTTAAATGAGCAAATGGTGAAGAAGGGATGTCAGCAATATAAAAATTGATCAGCTAAAAGATAAAAGCATAAGTAAAGAGATTTGTATGGTAGTCTTAATAGGTTTTATTAAATAAAAATACTATAAAAAGATAGTAATGAACAGACTGAAGATAACTGTTCTTGAGGTGGAGAAAAATTATTCTGGCACATTTAGTAGAAATTGGTTTTATGTCACCTGACAGGTGAACATTTTTTTTTCCATTTTAACTCTTAGAGCAGTCAGAAAAGCTCCTCAAAAAAGAGATAAATTCTCTAAGTGGTTTATGTATTTTAAACACATGTAATAATAAAGTAGATATTTACAGTGTTATATAGCTAATTACATAGGTTAAAGCAGGACTTGTGTAATAAGTAAATGTTAAGTGATTGTCTTCCTGTAGTTCAGACCTCACCTAGGGGGAAAGTACTTTTTTTTTTTTTTTGCACCATATGTTTTAGCCCTCTAGAATTCTCTCTTTTGGGACTCCAGGCCTCTCTACTGCTCCTGTCTCTACCTGGATTGCTCTTTCTTTCTTCTCTGCCTAGCAAACTTCTGCTCATTTTTTAAGGTCAGACTCAGATGTCACATCCTCTTTGAAACTCGCCCCAGCTTACCTAGGGAAAGCTAAATTGCTTCATCTTCTAGGCTTCTACAACACTTGTCTGAATGTTTATAAATGTATCATGTTATAGTGTATTGTGATTGTCTGGTTACAGGGCACTTTCTGGGCTCCTCCTGGGCAAATGAAAGTCCTGTCTCTATAATGTAACCCCAGAGCCTAGTGTAGAACCCAAATAGAAGGTCCACAATGCATGTTCAGTGAATGAATAAAAACAAATGGCCACGCTAAGAATTTTTTAAAGGAATTATCTTAATATTTTCAGATACTTATAAATTGCTATCTCCTTCCAGGCCTCATTCACTTAATATTTATTGAATACCTACTATGAGCCAGGCACTGTTCTAGCCTTGAGCATACAGTAATGAACAAGACAGACATAGTCCTGCCCTCAGGATTATAGAATCTAGCACAAGAGACAAGTAATCATAATAAACCATAAGCACACATTATAATAATAAATTTCTTGGCAGTTCTTATCCTAAACTTTTAAATGTACATTCTGAAACAGAATCAGGCAAATCAGTAGGATGTGGAAATGAGAATGTATAGCCCCAAAGCTACCATTTATAATGTAAAATAAAACTTTATGTTTGGGTTCTTTAACTTCGTTTTAATTCAGCATTCTACATCATATACTGTGACAACTTACTTTGAACCGTTTTCTGAAAAAACAAAATCTTTTTTCTTTCATATAGAGTTACGTCATCTCAACAGCTATGAATTCCTTAAAGCCATTCTAAATTGAGGTACTGTTTCACCTTTCTAATTATGTTTAGCCTTGTTAAATTGCACTGTTTTGTTCAAGTGGAAACATTTTATTTATATTATCAAATTTGGTACTGTCTGCCCACAAAGAAAATAGGGCCATGTGCTTTGGAACTTTAGTTGAAATTATATTTAATCTATTCTTATAAACAGTAGAAGGGCAATCTGACAAGACCTGAGTGTTAGAGGCTGATTGGAAAAGAGCTCATTTGTGCTGACTAGGCTAGCTTTAAAAGTCAGAGAGGGCATATTTTTAAGTGAGTATAAAGAGGGCCCATAATTGAGAACCTTTAGTATAAATAGCTAACGAAATACTGACAGATGGATTATAGTTTCCATAGGGGACACCTGACTGAACAAGATATAACAAGTCTATGATTTTGGAAATGTGGTGCATTGATTACATAATTGTATATTAATTAGTTGTACCTTTTCTTCAAAACAGTTCCTGTGGATTCAGCAATACAGGTAAAGGAAAGATTTATTTATAAATAGCTTATTATAACTTAGCTAGAAGCTATGAGTCATGATGTGATATTAGTGTTTAATATACCTGGAACTGAAGGTTCACATTAAGAAATAGCTTTATCCCAGACTTAGTGGCATCAGTATTAATTTTATTAGAAGCTAACCAGATGTTGCCTGCTATCTCTTAGAAAAAAACAAATGCAAAATGAAAGAATTCTATCCTGAAAATATGGTTCTTTGAAAATGTTATCTCAAGTGATTGATATTAGCTTTCTAACAAACTAGCTCGTCTTAAAATATTTGCAAAGCATCTTCTGTAGAAAATTGTCACTTTCATTCATTAAAATGTTCATTCTGTTGTACACAACAAATAATAGCTTATCATAAAAGCTAACATTTATTGAGCACTTTCTTTTTTTTCTTTTCTTAAGATTTTATTGGGGAAGGGGAACAGCCAAGTTGTTGTCCTTCAGTCTTAGTTGTGGAGGGTGCAGCTAGCTCAGCTCCAAGTCTAGACGCCATCTGGCCACTCAGCTCAAGGTGTCATGTTCAATCTTAGTTGTGGGTGGGCATAGCCCACCATCCGATGCAGGAGTGGAACCCGGCAACCTTGTTAGGAGCACGTGCTCTCACCAGCTGAGCCATCCTGCCACCTGTTGGCAGCTCAGCAGCAGCTCAACTCAGGCGCAGCCACTGGCCCATGGGGGAATCGAACCAGCGACCCTGTTGCTTAGAGCTCGTGCTCTTAACCAACTGAGCCATTTGGCTGGCTCTTATTGAGCACTTTCAATGTGCCAGGTACTATTATAAGCACTTTATACATAAGCTATATAACCTTCACAACTACTTATGTGAAATAGGTATAGTTGTTATCTTTATTTTATAGGTAAGGAAATTGAGGCACAAAGAGATTAAGTACCTTGTTCCAGAATCACCTAAGAGGTACCAGGATACTAACTGGAGTAGTTTGGTGCCCAAGTCTGTGCTCTTGCTCTTTACATAGCAGTAATCTATGAATGTCAGGCGTCCCTACTGGTCGCAGGTTTTAGATCCTATTAAGTAGTAAGGATATGGTATCTTTACACATATATATATACATATTCATTCATTATAGGGTTAAGTATTTTATAAAATTTCTGACCCACGAAAATCCAACAGAGAACTATTAGATGGTGATCAAAATACATATTCACAGTTACACACTGGGCAAATGAAAATCCACATTTAGTATATGGTAGTCTCATTAGTGAACTTTTGGGGGAACTTAAGAGTACTGAGTACAGCTTTGTGTCCATCCATTCTAGCCAAGAGCATCACATGATAGGGGTGTTCTGAGTCTTTGAGTAGTACTTTCAAAAAGCTTGAAAGGATTAAGGTTAACCTACCAGTCTTTTAACTTCCCTTTTAGTGGGAAGCAACAGAGAGAAATAACAGTGAATTGAAACTTGACTTACCTTTGAGTTATTTTCCTGGGTTCTTTTTACTGTGTTTTCTTCTCACTTTGGGAAATTTCTTCATGATCTCAGCCATTCCCTTGACTTTAGTTCTCACCTTAGTGTATATTGTTTTCAGATTTCTCCGTGACCCTCCTCCTGAGTTGTAAACCCACCTCTCAGTTGCTATACATTGTTCCTGAAGTGTGCTGATTACATCATCCCCCCCTTCCCCAATTGTTCTTCATTCTGCCTTTCTGGGATTACACTCATCTAATAATGAGGCTGAAAACCTCAAAATTCTGTCTCTGTTTTTGTCCCCACATCCAAACTGCTGCTGGGTCATATCACTTCCATGCCCACTGCACTAGATTATTCCTTCATTGCCTGTCATCTAGATTCTCATCATCCCCCATTGTAACCTGCCTGTCTTCCTTTTCGGCCCTTTCCTCTGCTTCTGGACAACTTATGCTCTAGAAGGTATCATTCCACTATATTCATGGTAAAATCCAAATTTATGCTGACATTTAGAACCCTTCCTGATCTGACCAGTTTGCCTTTCCAATTTGTCCCTGTGCCTCAGGCACTCCAAATTACTTGCCCTTCTCCAGACACATTCCTCAGAAAGAGCCTTTCTCATTTCTTTACCTTTGTTTCTGTCTCCTCTGCTTGGCATACATTTTCCCCCATTATCATCAAAATTTTGCCCATCTTTCAAAACCTGTTTATAACTCACCTTATACGAGGCTTCCTCAGTTTCCTCTCTTCCGTGTTCTCTCACTGTTCTTTTGTGCATTTGTCATAGCTGCCCAACTGGCATGGCTGAGGGAGGGTATAGACTCCCTGGTTTTGTCCAATGCCCAGAAACCTCTGACAGTCAGGGCACTCCTGACCCCACGTGGCCAGCTTCCTGTCTGCACATCCGCTCCTCCCCTCACCCACACTTCAGGAATGATTCCTGCTGACCTCTGTTGTTGAGTCAGGGGAGCCACCCCATATAAGTTCACTCCCAGAGCCTTTAAAAAGAGAATCCTTTATAAAATAATGTTAGAATAAGAGGGATCAGTAACCCATAGGCCATGGGTAGTACGAAGACCAGCAAAAGGGTAGGTGGGGAGAAAATGCATGATTTTGGCTAATGTTAATGGATACCGAGATACTTTATCTAGAAACAATGTGGATAGATCAATTGATTAACAAAAGTATGAGGATTAGGATTAACTCAGCACTATGCATAATGCCAACTTTTTGAAACCTAGTAATCAAGCTAAGAATACAAGATTTATATTATATACNCTTATATATGAATGTTCCTAGTGGCACTATTCACCATAGCCAAAAGGTGGAAACAACCCAAATGTCCATCAACTGATGCATGCATCAACAAAATGTAGTATACCCATACAATGCAATATTTAGGCATATAAATGAATGAAATTCTGATACATGCTACAATCTGCGTGGACCTTGAAAATATGCTAAATGAAAGAGGTCAGGCACAAGAGATAGAAAGTAGATTTGTAGTTACAAGGACTGGAGGAGGGGAGAATGCAGAGTGACTGCTTACTAGGCATGGGGTTTTCTTTTGGGGTGATGAAATGTTCTGGAAGTAGACAATGATGATGATTACACAACAATGTCAATATATTAATGGTGTATTTTACCACAATTTAAAAAAATACAGATATATGACCAAGGTGTAATCAAACAATACAGTGAATGTTTAAATTTAAAAAGAAAATGTATTACAGTAAAAGGCACTATGCCATGAATTCCCCTCAAAATACTCCCCCTCGCTTTGAACACACCTAATTCATCGTTCTTGCCACTTTCTGAAACAGTTCTGGAAGTCCTCTTTCGTGAGTGTCTTTACTTCATCCTCCATCATGACAATGCTCTGTATCACACATTGCTTCTGATATGGCAATTTCTGTCAAAAACATTATGGTGTGTCCTCATCCACCTTATTTACTGGATCTGGCACCGTGTGACATCTGGCTCTTCCGCAAAGTCAAAATGATTCAGGACATTGAGGCAGCTACAACAGCACAACTAAAGACACTCACAAAAGAGGACTTCTAGAAATGCTTCAGCAAGTGGCAAGAACGATGGGATAAGTGTGTTTTAAGCGAGAGGGAGTATTTTGAGGGGGATTAATGGCAATGTGTCTTTTACTCAAATAAATTTTTTTTGCTTAAACATTCACCATATTGTTTGACCACACCTTGTATATATATAATTTCTTTTTTTAGAAAAAGAAAATTCTATACTTCAATTCTTCTCTCATTATTTCTTAAACCCACCCTAATCAGGCTTTTCCCTGCATCATTCCACCAACACCAACCTTGTCAAAGTTACCAGTGACTTCCATTTTGCTAAGGCAAATAGTCTCCTCTAAGCCCTCATCTTGACCTATTAGCAGCATCTGATACAACTGATCACCTCATGTCCTTTTTTCCCCCCAGATTTATTGATATAATTGACATAATATTGTGTAAGTTTAGTGTACAGTGTGATNTAGAATGTAAGCCAAAACATGTAAAGAAACCTATATTAGGAAATAAAGTGTCAAGAAGGAGATTGGTTTCGTATGTAACCCAAGTTGCGTAGGTATGTGCTTAAGGCTATTAAATCAGTTACTGTATATCTGACCTCTAGATATGTACTAAGCTTTTGCCTTTCAGAACAGCTGGGTGTGCTAGGAATCATTTCTCAGTTCTCTTCATTGTAGATCAGATGACTCTCGCTTTATCACCCTTGGAGGCCACATGAAGGACAAAGCAGAAAGATCCACACACAAAACTAATGTTTATATGGGGGCGGGGTGGGGGATACACTTGGCCCTGGTTTTCCAATGAACATAACAGGAGACCAATTGAGACTTGAAACCATTGTGTTACTATAACCACTTTTTAGTTACATCCTATCCATCTCTTCCTCTTTCTATTGAACAGAGAGGCTCCTTTGGCTGCCTTGACTTTTGTAAATGTTTCACTCACTTAGTTGTGGTTTATCATTTGGACAGAATGCTACATCGGGGATTTTTCTCCCCTCCCTCAGGCCTCAAGGGAAAATGACTTCTGTGTGTCTCATATTTGATACATGAACATACACCCTATTCTCTTCATTTTAAGAAGCAAACCTAAGTATTGGCAACAGAGAAAACTGCATTTCTCAGAAATGGCCCTTCCCTCTACAATGAATTTGAAAATAACTTAGAGGGGCCATTTTTGACACGTATATTAGTAAAGAAAGTTAAGAAATCATTAATATTTTTGCATAACTTAAATATCTTTATATGAAAACATCCCTATAATCCTGGGGATAGCTGAGAGAAATGCTTTAGAATTGCCTATTTCTGTGATCTGAATTCATCACTGGACATTTTTGGTATTTTGGAACTTAATCCCTCAAAGTTCAAAGTGGACTCTTCTTAAACTGGTTTCTATAATAGATATGACATACTCGACTTATAAGTGCTACAAGACTCCATAAAAACTACACTGTAACTCCGTAAGATTAGATTAAATCATCTAGAAAATACTTATTTACAGAATTTACCTATAAGCTACCTTGAATATGGGTGCATTCTATTTTACTAATGTTTATATAATACTTTTCAAGTAATAACATTTGTCTATTCCAATTATTCAGGAGTTAGAATTTCCTCATCATTGATTTAAATCCACACCCTGTGTTAAACAAAAGTATGCTATTACAAAAAATAAGGCTCCACTAGCCAGCCAAGATGCTGACATTTGGGCACACTGATTACAGATGGTGACCATGGACAGCGCTGTTCCTGCTGATTCGGCAGTGATTCAAGGCTGCTTTTCTCTGCTGCCCTGCCCTTTGAGTCTTTATGCACATTTACTGTGAGAAAGAAATACTTCTTGATTTTCGCTTTGTCTAAACCCACTTCGTTTCAGACTGAGAAACACATAATGTCTTGCATCAGCCTGTGGTTGTCCATGTCTAGAACGAGATTTTCTTTGTATGTATGTGTTTGGCTTGCATTGCTTTAAAATATACTGCTGCTTAGTTAGTATGCTTTAATAGCTGTCTTATGAAATATATGCATTAAAAATATAGTTGATGGGACAATAATCGTTTTATTTTTATCATAGAAACTAAAGAGAAACTAAAGAGAATACATCTTTACATGAGAAACTACAACTTGGATATAAAACATTATTTTTTACCAATTGAATACTAAAGATGGACTTCTGTTAATATAGAGGGATACAGAATTAACAAGTCCAGGTTAACATGAACCATGATATGAGGCAATGTTTAGGGCAGTGGTTACCTTGAACCATGTCCTCACAGAAAAGAACAGAAGGGAGAAATCCTTCATTAAGCCATTTAACTTAAACGAAATGATCCTGGAAGTTTAGAACCTAGTGATCATGAATAATAAAAAAACTTCACTCAAAACCCTTAGATTTAAATTCATAAAAATTCATTGTTTAATTACATTCAAGTAAATCAGCATTCTTGGAAATAAATAAAAATACGGTTTAATCTCTGTGCCTTTGTTAAAAAAATTTCAAGTTTGCACATGTAATAAGGCATGTTCAAACTTCAAACCGTTTAAATTGCCTTCTCATAGTAATTTAAAAGATTACCACAAATTTAATCCCTGAGATAGAATTTCTAAAGAATGAAATACATACCACTGCATTCTAAAATGTAAGGAACACTACATTTAAATACCAAAATTAGAAATTTCTTTTAAAAAGGGGCTAAATTCTCCCATAAAGCTCACTGTATTTGCAGATTTTTTTCCAAGTCAATAAATTATAGAATACATTTCCTAACTAAACACTGGGATAAAGGACATTTTTCTTATTTTCCTGCTGAATAACTGAATATTAATAAAACTANAGATCTTTCCAGGGTTCTGGGCAATAGAAAAGACAAAAATGGATTGAGTCCAAAGAGGATCAACTTGATTAGTGGAGGAATTGATAGCCTCCAATATGGCAGGCCCTCTGGTAGAAGCTTGGGATAACTAATGTGGATTGTGCCTAAGGCAGAAGTAAAATCTAAATCTTGAACCCTGTGTGCTCTCCTGAACCTGAGGAGAACGCTGGATCTTTGAAATAGACCCCATGTCCATGGGCCTCTGCAGCAGCAAGGACCATAGGCCTGTTGTATATGCCTGGCTGCAGATGGGAGATAGAATGGGCTGGTCTCCTTACAGTATGAAGTGAGGAAGCACAAACACCCACTGGACTTGAGAGGAGACAGTGAAAGGGAAATTAAATTGTGGGGAAGAGTGTTGTGTGTAAGAGTAGTGACATGTATTAGTAGTAAGGTGTGGACCCATGTTCTTTGACCAGTCAAATGTGTCACTGTTCCATGGGGTATAGAGGGCAAAAGAGTTGACAGGAGTTCCTGCCTCTTCAGACTGAGGAATATAAACTTTCCTCTCTAAAAACCAAATGAAGAAGCAGCAGTAGTAAGTATAAAAATACACAACAGACGTGGATCACCTCTAGGGTGATTAGGTCATTACTTAAGGGTTTATGATTTTAAAATCCGTTCTAGTTATTCCACTCTACATTATCTCTCACAGAGGGCCATCCAGACCATAGTAATGGAAACTTTGTACTTTACTAGGAAGCTGGAGTTTGAAAAGTGGGTGGTTTTGATGGGCTGTATAAACACACTAGGCAGAGAGAACATGAACAAAAACAGGCAGAGAAGCAGAATGATTGAATGGTAGATTCCAGCCACATCATTGACAGTTGTGATCTCCAGGTTATTAAGTTCAAACTTTATTCATTAGGCAGAAGTGGACCATGAAGATTATTAGGGAAGTCACAATCCAAAATATGTTTTAGGAATAATATAATTACTATATGAAGAGCGAGTCCTATCAAAATACTGCTCACGAACTGCATCAGTGTATCTAAGTTGCTTTTCATTTTGTGTTCTGAGATAGTCGTCTCCAGAACCAGTATGGCAGTGCAGAGATAACCAACATACTGCTAGTCCCTGCTCTTGTGCTGTGACATACCTCACATTGATCAAACTATTTATTTTGCTGGATCCTGAATTTGGCCTCAGTATCTTTGTCAACACAATTCTCCTAGCGACCATGATCAATTGATGAAATGTCTTTGTAGGGCCTGACTTTGTAATAGAGAAGAGGATTTGGATTAGATGTTCAACACCAGTTCTGTTTCCTGCCTTAAACAAGATACTTGGCTCCCCTAAACCTTAATTATAAAATAGGACTGATAACATTTGCCTGTTGAGATTGTATAGACTAATTAGCTTAATTAGTACCTCCCCCATAGTAACTATTTAATAAATGATAGTCTTCCTTTCCTCTATAGTATTATTAGTTCTGATAACTGTGCATCAATAACGTATAAGAATATTAAGTGAACACTAGAGTGCTTAAAAGCCATAGGAATTCAGACCAGATTTAAACAAGAGTTGGCGAAAGTTGGTTGCCAGTGTTGGCAGCCTATCTTTTTATCGGACAATAAGCATATGGGCACTCTCAAGAATTGTAGCCCACCATGCATTACTTCTTTATAGCTGTTGATGTAATCAAGGAAGGGGTATTTAGGGAGTGAATGGTCCACATGCCCTATGGGAATATATTCCATCAATTGCCAATGGCTGCTTTCTTCAAAGGCTTCCTTTCACACAAGGGTCCTAAGGCCAAATAGGCAAGGACTTTGAACCACCACTAGGAGTCTCCCGAGGGACACACTATAGATAGGAATGTCTGTAAATAGTCTTTTTCTGGGGGGCAGCTGTTGGAGGAAACACCTGCTGAAGGCCCTTAAGGCTTACAGACAAAAGGCATGTAGATTTTGGTGTTTTCAGTAGGTCCTGTTGGAGTTTTAGAATCCTCTCAGAAGTATGTCAAAATCCATATTCCCATAAAGTGAAGAGTGTTATGTCTGAGTCACATTGACAATCTGTGAAGGTGAAGCTTGCTTAGAAGACTCAAAAATAAGCAAATGAGCGATTACCAATACCTGACTAAACTAGGGGCGAAATTACATGGTAAACGGGTGTTTAAATCATTTCTTATGTCATGCATGAGATGCATGTTAATTTGGAAAGTAATTCTTGATGATTTAATAGTAATCATCCTTTATATCCTGCAGGCATTTAGAAGAAATGCACTCGCTATGAACACCAAGTTCTGCATCTGCCTGATCATATTTAAAGGAACAGAAGACACGTTTGTAATTAATCTGCCCAGTAAATACCAGATCATAGCACTCGGCAGGTGCGTGTCTAGATAAAATTTCTTGCAGCTAATTTAAACTTTCTACACACATCAGTAGATAATCTCAATGTAAATAATACATTTCTTCTTGACCCTTTAATGAGTAAGCCAACATGTAGACAAGGATCTTGACTTATATTCTGTATCATGTACACTTCTGTATGCGTTTAGCATTNACCTATCTCTGGGTCTTAATTCTTTCCCATTTATTCATTCAATATTAATTTACTAAACACAAGCATTTACTGAAAACTTATTATGTACAAGAGCTGCTCCAAAAAAAATACAAAGATAAATATTTATAACCAAGCGCCAAAATCTCCTACCTCATCAACCTCTTCTCTGAACCTTTCCCTTCACCACCTTGTTCAAAACAAATTCTGGCTCTCTCGCTTAAGGAAAAGGCTGCCCCTCTACCCTCTGTTATGCCTGTTTTGTCCCTGTTGTTCCAGTTTTCACAGCCTTCAAACAACTTGGCCCGTAGGCGGGAGATAACTTCCTTGCTCTTCATCACGACTTCCACCAGTGCGCCCTCTCTGCCCTAACAGCCTCCAGCTCTGAATCTCATGTCCTCAGGCTTTATCCCCTATTATTCCTCATCTTTGTTATATCATCCACCAACCACAAGGGTCACCTCCCTCATTACTCAATGATTTCAACTCCTTACTGTCACTCTACAACCCTATGTGTCTTAATTCTTGGCAATTTTAACACACACATAGATGATCTTCCAGCACCCTGACCTCTCATTTGCTGGAACTCGTCTCTCCTCGTGATCTCATCCTCAATCCTCCACCTTAGGTCGCATGCCATGCTAGACTGCCACCCCTCCGCAATCACAACTCATCACCTGCATTCTGGTCACTAGCTCCTACGTTTTTGGTGTCCCAACAATCTTTTGACCCCACCCTTGTTCCTGATTCCCTTTCACTTTGCTCCACTGCTTTCATGTCTTTTCCCTTCTTACCCAGCTCAAATTCTAAGGTCAATTATTATAATCACTCCCATGCATTCATTCTCAGGCCTCTAGCCCCAGGCAAGTGAGTTATCCTCACCCGACAAAACCATAGCCTGGAAATACCCAACTCTTCCCCTGCACTTACTCCAACCGTGCTTAGTAACTGCTCCGGAGGAAAACCTTTACCTACACTAACTGTTCTCTTTAAATAATGCATGATCATGATATTCAATTACCCACCGATTACATATATTTCCCTAATCTGCTCACACTCTGTCGCCTTAAAAAAATAGTTCACACCTTCTCTTCTCTTATTCCCAACAGCTCCAACCCGCTCTTCCTTAATGAGCCTGCCTTCTACTTCAATAAGAAAATTGAAGCATTTAAGAGAGAACTCTCACAGATGCTACCGTCACATCTATTNGACTGATCTGCCTCACCCTGGAAGAGCACAATGATGGTGCCAACTTGGGCCAGTGAGGCGACATCCTCCACAACTAGGCTGAAGAACAGAAGGACAGCAACTTGTCTGTTCCCCTTCCCCCAATTCCCCAGCGCTGTTTCCATCCCCCAATTCCCCAATAAAAATCTTTTAAAAAAAAATGGAAGAAAGGTCTCAAATCATTATCACCTGACTGTTAAGAAACTAAATAAAGAAGAGTAAACCAAATCCAAAGCAAGCATGAGAAAGGGTATAATAAAATTAAAACCAAAATCAATGAAATAGGAAACAAAAAAACAATACAGAAAATCAGTGACCAAAAGTTGATTCTGTAGAAAGATCAGTGACACCAACAAACTTTAGCTAGACTGACCAAGGAAAAAAGAGAAGACACAAATTACCAAAATCAGGAATGAAAAAAGGACATCATTCCTTACCATACATAAAAATAACAAAGAATAAAAGACAAACAACTGTAAGCAACAAATTAGATAACAGATGAAATGGACAAATTCTTAGAAAGACAACCACTGAAACTCAAGATATACAGAAACTCTGAATAGACCTATAACAAGTAAATAGACTGAGCTAATAATTTTGAAAGTCTCACAAAGAAACACCCAGGCACAGATGGCTTCACTGGTGAATTATACCAAATGTTTACAGAACTAATACCACTCCTTCATTAACTATACCAAAAAGTAGAAATGAAACACTTCCCAACTCCTTCCATGATGCAAAGTATTAACCCTGACACCAAACCAGACAAACATCACAAGAAAACCAATATCCCTTATGAATATAAATACAAACGTCTGTGAAATACTGGCAAACTCAAACCAGTGGCATATAAAAAGATTATACATCATGATCAAGTGAGATATCTCAAGAATGCAAGGTTAGTTCAACATACGAAAAGCAATCAATGTAATAAACCATATTAAAAGTATAAAGGGGGGGAAAAAAGCACATGGCCATATTATTAGATATTTGAAAAGCATTTAACAACATTCAACACCCTTCCATGATAAAAGCACTAAATAAACTAGGCGTAGAACTTCCTAACCAAATAAAGGCCATCTATAAAAAACACACAGCTAACATCATAGTTAATGGTGAAAGACTGGATGCTTTCTGCCAAAAATCGAGAAGATGTCCACTCTTGCTACTTGTATTCAGTATTGTACTAGAGATTCTGGCCAGGGTAATTAGTCAAGAAAAATAATAGTCATCCATATTGGGAAGGAAGAAATAAAACTCATGATTTACGGATGACATGATCTTGTACATAAAAACCATAAGGAATCCACTAAAAACGTATAGCACAGAATACAAGTTTAATATAAAAAATCAATTGTATTTGTATATAGTAGCAATGAACATTATGAAATTTAGAAAACCATTTATAAATGCATCATCAAGAATAAAATATTTAGAAATAAATGTAACAAAAGTGCAAGGCTTGTAGACTCAAAACTACAGAACACCGTTGAAGGAAATTAAATAAATAAATGGAAATACATTCTATGTTCATGGGTTTGGATGACAAAAATCTTAAAATGGTAGTACTCTACAAACTGATACACAGATTCAAAGCAATCCCTATCAAAATCTCAACTGGGTTTTGGAGAAATTAACGAACTGATCCTAAAAATAATGTGGAAACAGGGACAAAGAACAGCTAAAATAATCAAAAGAAAAAAGTTGGAGGACTCATTTTCAATTTCAAAACTAACTACAAAGCAAGCTATGGTAATTGAGACAGTGTGATACTAGCATAAGCATGGACGTATAGATCAGTGGAATAGAATTCAGAGTCCAGAGATAAACCCTTAACGTTTGGGATCAGGTGATTTTCAACAAGGGTGCCAATATAATTCATTAGTGCTGGAACAGCTGAATAAAGTTGGACCCCTACCTCACACCATACACAAATATTAACTCAAAATGAATCAGTGACCTAAAAATAAGAACTAAAACTATAAATTTCAATTAAAAGAAAACATAAGAGGAAATCTTAAGGACCTTTGGTTACATATAGTTTCTTAGATATGCTTAAAAGCATAAACCAAACAAAAGATATATTAGGCTTCATAAAAATCAAAACTTTGGTGCTGCAAATGATACCATCGTGAAATGAAATAGCAACCCACAGAATGGGAGAACATATTTGCACATCACATATCTAGTAAGAGACCCATATTGAAAATGTATAAAGAACTCTTACAACTCAAAAATAAGAAGACAATCCAATTTAAAATGGACAAAGGATTTGAAAAGGCTTTTCTCCAAAGAAGAGATGCAAGTGGCCACAAAGCACACAAAAAGATGCTCAACATAATTAGTAACTAGGGAAATGCAATTCAAAGCCACAGTGAAATACCATTTCACCCCCACTAGAATGGCCATAATAAAAAAGACAATTGCTGTGAAGGATGTGGACAAATTGGAACTCATATA